TAATAGTATAAGTGAAATGTTTTCCCTGCAGATCCAAATGGACCTCCAAAAAGAAAACGAGGAAGACCCAGGAAAGATGCTTCCAAACCAAAGGTAATGAGAAATTTCTTCTTCTGTGGATTTGTAATGGGCTCCCAGAACTAAATTCAACAGTTGTAATTCATCTGAGGAGAAAGAGAATCACATATTTTTTTTTTTTTTTATCTTCCTTTACTTTACTTTTAGCATGTTTTCTCTCTCTCTCTCTCTCTTCTCTCTCTCTCTCTTCTCTCTCTCTCTCTCTCTCTCTCTCTCTCTCTCTCTCTCTCCTCTCTCTCTCTCTTCTCCTCCCTCCCTCCCTCCCTCCCTCCCCTCCCTCCCTCCCTCCCTCCCTCCCTCCCCTCCCTCCCTCCCTCCCCTCCCCTCCCCCTCCCCTCCCTCCCTCCCCTCCTCCCCTCCCCTCCCCTCCCTCCCTCCCTCCTCCCTCTCCTCCCTCCCTCCCTCCTCCCCCTCCCCTCCTCCCTCCCCTCCTCCCTCCCCTCCATCCCTCCCTCCCTCCCTCCCTCCCTCCTCCCTCCCTCCCTCCCTCCTCCCTCCCTTCCCTCCTCCTCCTCTCCTCCTCCTCTCCTCCTCCTCCTCCTCCTCTCTTCCTCCTCCTCCTCCTCCTCTTCTTTTCCTCCTCCTCCTTTCTTTTCCACTTCTTCTTTTCCTCTCCTCTTTCCTTTTCCTCCTCTTCCTGTTCTTCCTTTTCCTCCACTTCCTCCTATTCTTCCTTTTCCTCCTCCTCCTCCTCTTCTTCCTTTTCCTCTCCTCCTCTTCTTCCTTTTCCTCCTCCTCTTCTTCCTTTTCCTCCTCTTCTTCCTTTTCCTCCTCATCTTCTTCTCCCTTTTCCTCTTCTTTTCCTCCTCCTCTTCCTCTTCCTCTTCCTCCTCCTTTTCCACCTCTCCTCCTCCTCCTCCTTTTCCTCCTCCTTCTCCTCCTCCACTGCCTCTTAACTTTCCTGTTTCCTCCTTTTTTCTCATTATATCATAGGTACAGAAAGATTAATGATATTTTGGATATAGCTTGCTGGCAGCCATTTACAAATTCAGGTCACATTGTTTTTTTTAATATTATTATTTCCAAAAGACATTATTGTTGAGTTTAGTTATTGTGTCTGCTTGTCTTTTCTTTGTGTATAGAGCATGTGACTTAACTTGGGTTGTCATATCTGAATCATATTACTTACAGAGTTTTAAATATCAAGTAAGTATATCCAATTCTTTTAAACAAAGGGAAAAAGGGAAAACAAGAAGGAAAGAAGGAAAATGTTGATATAGATCATTAGGATATACACTTAAAGAAAAATTGAGAAAATGGAATTAAGACTAGAAGGTGTCGTGAAATAAAGTATATGTTTTCTCTTTTGTGTGTGTGTGTGTTGTTGATTTTTGATGTGAGAACAAATTTGTTGTTTTTGCATTATGAAAGGAACAGTTGTAAGCCTAAAGAAATTGTGGAATACACTCTTTGAAGCTCAAAATCCTCTACTAAGAAATAATACCGCAAAAAATCAACTGGTATACTAAAATAAGGCAAGAGGATAAGAACATTGTATTTTTTAAATTGACCGTTCTAAAGTTACGTTAAGACTTCCTACAATCTTGAAGATTCTAGAGAAAGAAAATTGTGTTAAGAACTGGTTTGTGTTCCACAATATCTTGAAGCATATGGCCATAATTTTTTTTTTTCCATGATGAAGTTTAGTAAATGGTATATAATATAAATTTCATCTGAACATGAGGAAAAGAAAGACACATGCACACAAGAAGTATATATATAATTACATAAGGAATATTTCAAAAAGGAAGAAAACAAAGTTGCATATTTATTTGGAATTAGAAATACAGTAAACTCTCTCTTATACGATTTTCTCTTATCTGGTGACCACAAAATATCTGGAGGAAATTACTAAAAATGAATATGGTCATGAAAATGCCAAGAATAGTACCTTGTGTTGGAATACATTATCAATACATATCTAAAGTATTCAGGGAAGATTTTAAAATCTATGGTATGCGTACAAAAAAAAAAGAAAATAAAAAAAGTCCAATAAGACTGAGCAAAAGTTAAGAAACCTTATGTAGATTTGTGTTAAGATTCCATATGTCAGAGGGATTCTTTCTTCACAACTGGAAATGAAGCATAAGTAAATTGTGTCAAGTGCATCTGCCCTTGTTCAGAGACTAATGATGAAAGAAAGGGTGAAGGCAAAGAAACTGACAAACAACCAAACATTGCTTAGGAAAATAAAAAAGAATGGCAAGTGGATAGTGACCTGTTCTTTGCCACATCTCCAGTATCCTTCCTTGTCAGGTTTGTTGCAGTTCTCTACTACAAGTTCTACTCAGAGTAATGATAGTGAATAATTATGATACTGGTGGATATATTTTTATTTTATTTTATTGGGATATGAAGGTCATTCTCTTACATTTGTGTTTGTGTTATGCCACTGTTGTTGATTTTGTTTTATGAAAAGTGT